CCCTCCCTGCAATATATTCCTCCCTTCCTGCAATATAGTGTTCACTTACTATCAATAGTCTCCCCTATCTTGCGTCAAAAATTAAGAATGGATTAAACCAAATAAACACAGTCTTATAGCACACTTCCAGAGAGCTCAGAAAGAGGTGTAACTAGATTTTTGTTCAGTCTCTGCTCATCACTGTAAGAGTGTGCTGCCTGAATTTTAAATAATTTTTTAGATAAATCATGATCTCCCAGGGAATCCCTAGTGACCTCTTGCAGAAACCTAGGGTTCCATGGAACCCTGGTTGAGAAGCCCTGCCCTAAAGTGTTGCAGGGAAAATAACTGCCTACCCAGTTCTGATTATTGTAACTATAGACAAATCCCAGCATCTGAGTATCTTTTCCAGGGCCTTCATGGCTACTCTACCAAGTGCTAGTCTGTGGCATATTTCTTGACTGCTGTTCCTTTTCTGTTGATAGTTAATTCTAAAGGTAGAAGGTATTTATGATTTCAATATCTTCATTGTTACTTCCAAGATTGGTTGCTATACTAGTAACATTAGCTTGCTCTTTGAATTTAATCTTAATCCAATCTTGCATGAGGACAATGAAATGTTCTTAAAAACATTCCACAGTTTGACATGGTCAAGACAATCAAAGGACTTTAAATAAATAATGAAGCACACATTCATTTCTTTTTTTATAGAACTGAAAGATGTTTATGTAGATTAGAGTTGAAATACTGAAGCAAATTTTGAATGCTTTCTGAATGGGACATCTTATATTTATTCCTTAAAGATGACAACCCTTTTCACCCTTACTAGGAGTAAGATCTACTAAAATCAACTGAACTTATGTCGGAATAATACTGAAAAGATAAATTTACGGCCCAAATCACATAATAGACTGAAAATCTGACGTTGCTTGAGATTTATGAATAAATTGCTTACAGACAGAGACTATGTATGAAGAATTATGCTGAAATATGGTCAGTTTACTGAAACTTTTGTATAAAACTCTGTGTGTGTGTGTGTGTGTGTGTGCGCGCATGCATAAATAAAAAACATGATATGCCTTTCTATCTTCCCCCCACACACATACATATATGTGTGTGCATTCTATTTAATTAAATAAAGGCAATAAGAAATAAAAATATGTGAGTAAACATGTAGAGAAAGTAGATAATCCAGTTGCTTTTAATAGGTATTTTAATGTAATGCCAAAAACACAAGGAATGTAAGATATGAGATTATTAAGAAACATTTAAGGCTCTATAGTTTTCCCTTAATACTACAATATGACCACACTAAATTAAAAACTTTCAGAAATAAAATGAAAATTAATATATAGATGCACAGAATTACAGAACAAGTACAACAGGCTTTGTATTTTTAGGTAATTTAAGTTACAGTAAATTTTGTGTTTTATATTTTTAAGCAATTTTAGTTAGCAAGGTTGGGAAAGTATAATGAGAATACTTATTCAGATTATTGGTAGGAAAAAATATTTTAAGCATGCTACAACATAACTGAAACTGCATGCTTCCTAGTTAAGAAACTTGGATCATTAATGTCAAAGTCATACCACTCCTGTTAAAAACTGGCATCTTGCCTGGGTATGGTCTATAAGACTTTTGCCCATTTGCAATGTTTGAACTGGCTTTGCACACATCAGGAAAGGAAGGGAGTAGGCAGGGTATTTGCTGGTGAGATCACTTATGTTAAAGAAAAAAATAAGTATTCATCTATTGACTGAATACTTCTACCCCTCGTCTCTCCCTTTCCCTCTCTCCCTCTCTGAAAAAAGTAGGTCCAACTTGAAAGAAATTATTTTTCCTTAACCTCAGACAGTGTCCAATTATGTCAGTAATGTTATATTTTGGAACTTGAAAATAAATGTCTTTTTAAGCAAATGAAATGTTTGTTTGAAGAGCATTATAATATGCATTAAAAAGATTTAAAATGTTCTTCTCAGGACAGATTTTCTTTTCCACATTAGCGTTTGAAAGTAAATGGGCATTTTCCAATTTTTGGTAAAAAAAACTTTGCAAGTTTCACCAAAATAGAAGTTTCTGCCAATAGAATTATTTTTCTAAATGATGTTGCCATTTCTACTTTCACATATATTACATGTAGATTCCATATATATTGTACTGTATCTTAACTGTATTAATATTTACATATATAAAGTTTTTTGCATTCTGTGCTACAAATTATTGGATTAGGGGCAGAACAGTATTTATTTCATGTATTTATAGTGATAAAGATAAAACATGTTTTTCTTCAACTTA